GACAGCCCTACACCCTACCTGCTGATATTTAAACAATAGGTCTACAGACAGCCCTACACCCTACCTGCTGATATTTAAACAATAGGTCTACAGACAGGCCTACACCACAACTGCTGGCCTATAAACAATAGGTCTACAGACAGCCCTACACCCTACATGCAGGCCTTTAAACAACAGGTCTACAGACAGGCCTACAAACATATCTACAGACAGTCCTACACAGGCCTACAGACAGGGCTACAGACAGGCCTACAGACTTTATTACAGGCAGGCCTATAGTCAGGCCTACAGACAGTTCTACAGAAAGTCCTACAGACAGGTCTACAGACAGGCTTACAGACATTTCTATAGAAAGGCCTACAGACAGGCTTACAGACAGGCCTACAGACAGGCTTACAGACAGGCCTACAGACAGTCCTACAGACAGGCCTACAGACAGGCCTACAGACCGGTCTACAGACAGGTCTACAGACAGTGCTGCAGACAGGCCTACAGACAGTGCTGCAGACAGGCCTACAGACAGGTCTACAGACAGGTCTACAGACAGTGCTGCAGACAGGCCTACAGACAGGTCTACAGACAGTGCTGCAGACAGGCCTACAGACAGGTCTACAGACAGTGCTGCAGACAGGCCTACAGACAGGTCTACAGACAGGCCTACAGACAGGCCTACAGACAGGTCTACAGACAGTGCTGCAGACAGGCCTACAGACAGGTCTACAGACAGGTCTACAGACAGGCCTACAGACAGGCCTACAGACAGGTCTACAGACAGTGCTACAGACAGGCCTACAGACAGGTCTACAGACAGGTCTACAGACAGGCCTACAGACAGTGCTGCATACAGGTCTACAGACAGGCCTACAGACAGGCCTACAGACAGGTCTACAGACAGTGCTGCAGACAGGCCTACAGACAGGTCTACAGACAGGTCTACAGACAGTGCTGCAGACAGGCCTACAGACAGGCCTACAGACAGGTCTACAGACAGGTCTACAGACAGGCCTACAGACAGGTCTACAGACAGGTCTACAGACAGGCCTACAGACAGGCCTACAGACAGGCCTACAGACAGGTCTACAGACAGGTCTACAGACAGGCCTACAGACAGGCCTACAGACAGGTCTACAGACAGTGCTGCAGACAGGCCTACAGACAGGCCTACAGACAGGTCTACAGACAGGCCTACAGACAGGTCTACAGACAGGTCTACAGACAGGCCTACAGACAGGCCTACAGACAGGCCTACAGACAGGTCTACAGACAGTGCTGCAGACAGGCCTACAGACAGGTCTACAGACAGGTCTACAGACAGGGCTACAGACAGGCCTACAGACAGGTCTACAGACAGGTCTACAGACAGGCCTACAGACAGGGCTACAGACAGGTCTACAGACAGGGCTACAGACAGTAGTGCTGCAGACAGGCCTACAGACCGGTCTACAGACAGGTCTACAGACAGTGCTGCAGACAGGCCTACAGACAGGCCTACAGACAGGTCTACAGACAGGTCTACAGACAGGCCTACAGACAGGCCTACAGACAGGCCTACAGACAGGCCTACAGACAGGCCTACAGACAGGCCTACAGACAGGCCTACAGACAGGTCTACAGACAGGCCTACAGACAGGCCTACAGACAGGCCTACAGACAGGCCTACAGACAGGCCTACAGACAGGCCTACAGACAGGCCTACAGCTAGGCCTACACCATACCATTGACTCTACAGTATCACTATGATTGTCCCCTCCCAAAAAAGTCCACCTTTTTCCCCAGAGTTCAGTCGACGCGCATGACGCCCGCTTCTTGACAGCTTCTTTTCACACTCGGTACTATTAATATAAAACATGTTGAGTGGGGGGAGGAACAGTTATGAAAAGGAAGCAGCCACACCAGAAGCAAAAGACATATGAGAGATTATCAACATAATGAAGGAAAATATTACCGTGCAGTATACAAATATTTATCATCATCATCACAGCTGATTTTAAAAAAAAGTAAACTGATTGTTATTGCTTTGATATGCACTGCACACAGGTACTGTTGCACTGCACACAGGTACTGTTGCACTGCACACAGGTACTGTTGTGTAAGATTTTTAGTTTGTAGATCTATTTGATAAAAACAGATTGACATCACGACATTTGCAATAGCTTATTGGACATTAGAATTGACATCATGACAGGTGCAATAGCTTATTTAACATTTGCATTGAAATCATAGCATGTGAAATAGCTTATTTGATATTGAAATGATATAATGACATGGGCAATAGCTTATTTGATATTGTCATTGACATCATGACATGCTCAATAGCTTATATGATACTTGCATTCACATCATTACATGTGCAATAGCTTATGTGACAAGTGTATGAGAGAGCAGAATGTTACTGCATTCCATTTTACCATTTAACAACAACACAAGATATGATTATTTTAGATTGATGATTACATAAACAGAGCGCAGTACGTCCTGGCTGTAATCTTGTTCCCACATCTTTTCACACCATAAATTAATAATGGATGTTGTCTTTGTTTTTAACATATGAAATTTGTCTTCGGGTTCGACATTTATTTTAGTGTTTTTAATTGTCAAGGATACCTGTAATCTTGGGACAGCATTGATGCTATTTTTAATTTTTAACATATTGTCTCGTATTTATTACGTCATCCTTCCGACCCACTAGAAATTTGGGCATGCGCACTTGTAGCCCAGAAATACTCGACATGCAAATATTGAAAATTGGTATAGTTTAATTAAGAGAACTTTTTCAGCCGGATGCAGTGGTGAAAAATGGTCAGGTGTTTATTGGTTTGACTTTGCCTACAAGTCCTATCCCATTTCTTTGACGCCCCACCCAACCTTTTAATCTATTCACACCTTGAACAAATCTCTCCACCCACACCCCCAACAAACACCCCCCCCCACGCACACACACATCGCTCCCTTACCAGGACGACTTACATTGCATCATGTTAAGTTAGGGGTCGATTTGAAACCTAACAATTTAAGTTTGTCAAATACCGATCATTTAAAAGTTTGTGATTAATGTACACAGTGGACGTACACGCATTTGTATGGTGAATAAAAACACTCTCACTGCTTCTGACACGTCATTGCTTTTTGTTACTGTGGAAATATCAAGTTCCATATGAGTGTCTCGAACATGCAACAATATCACAATTTCTATCACAATCTGGAAAAAGGGCATCACATTGCAATTTACAACACTGGTGAAATTATTTAAGTCATTCTTAGAAGAAAAAAATAAAGCCCCCAAAACCAAAACAAAAGATACTGTCATTTGCTAAAATTAGCCTAAAACCTAATCTCCCCTCCAAAGCAAATAATTCCGAGCATAAATACATTTCATGAAATAAATCCCACTACAGCTATGTAAGGAGAACTGACCAATCATTGCTTACTAAAACAATCCTTTGTTAAACCGGGGTCTCCTTGTGCCTGACTTTTGAACCCACGTGATTCGGCCGGGGGCCCTGCGCCAGGATAGCTTCTGCCTGCGCCGCCACCGATGTAGATGGGGTGTCCGTATCTCGCGCCCGGCCTGGCTGGGCCAAACTTGCCCCCCTCGTGTCCAGCAAGTGACTTTGGGGATGCGAGGCAAAGCCTTGAGGAATCGATCCGAGCCCCGACACGATTGGTGACCGACGTACTCCACTGGGCGACGGCTCGTCTCTGGAGCCCGAGTTCTCGCCGGGTAAGCATTCAACATCGGACTCGTCCGATTCGGAGTGAATGCTGGGAGCGTTCACTTTAGGAAGTGGCTTCAAAGTCGGCGGGAGTCCACCACGCTTTGGGTGGTGTAGACCTTGACCTTGTTGCTGGGCGGGATGATTGAGGTGAAGACCGTTACTCGATGCTGCCGCTGTGGGTTCAAGCGTGCGGGTATCGATACCAGATGGCTGATAATTGCCGAGGACGCCGGTGAATGGTTCTTGTGACAGGCTTCTATTGATTGCGGGATCGACCGCCGGGACGCTGGAGATTGAATCAGTGTTTTGTTGCCCGGCACGAAACGCTCGCGGTCCCGTGACGGGGATTTCCCCTCTTGTCCGAGGCGATGGCGAGTCCCCGGCTAATCCAATTTCCGAAAGCGTGTTGACTGGAGTCGAGGGGATGGTCGAGTTGAGGCCCGTGCCACGGGACGAGGCAATCCGCCTCATTTGGATGGCCTCGTCGTAACACGGGGGTGACGGAGGGGTCACCGGCGGGCTTGTATTGCTGCTAGATAACGGAGCGACCGTCGGGGAAAAACCGCCCGCCTTGGGAACAGAGATGGGCCGCGTGGGTGCAAAACGTGGGCCCACTTCACCGGAAGTACTTGTCCCTGGTTGACTTATGGGAAGTGGTCGAAAAGAGTGGACGAAGCCCAGCTCCCCCTCCGCCGCCTCAGGGACACTTTTTGATCTATTTATAGCAACCAGCGAATGGGTGGGATGCTTTCCGAGTTTCTTGGGTCTGGCGGCGAGCTGAAGAGAACCGTGCGCAGGAATTTTGGTTCGCTGCGGTCGGGCGAAAGTGGACGATTCGCTGGTGGTTGCGATTACTGCACATTCTGACAAAGTCTCGTTTGTTCTGGACGACGTCACCGAGTGGCAGGAAAAACTGTGCGATATGGCGGAGTCGTCTGGCGTTACGGGGGTGCCGACATTGAAGCGGACATTCCCGTTCCCAATGGAAATTCCCGAAACGCTAAACGACGACTGACCGGTGGCTTTGCGCTGGAGCCTGTTTCTGTCCCTCAGCAGCTGCTGAATCTGATGGCGTATGGTTCCATCGTTCAAGGACGACTCGATCGAATCCGACTTCCCAAAAGCGCTGCAGCTTTTGAACTTCTTCACCCGGTTCATCGTCACGGCCGGGGTCAAGGATCGCCTGGCCACCGCGCAACGACCGGCCAACGTGACGTTGGTCAAGCTGCGCGGAAACTTGCACGGGCGCGTCTTGGTGGCCCCGTAGTCCCGCCGCAGTTGGATGTCTGCCAACATGGCCTCCGAGTAGCTGGGGACGATGACGTTGTTGTTCCTGATGCTCATCTCGAGGTCCTCGCTGTTCATCGTGTTGACCCGGCTCATCAAGTTCGGGTAGTTCTCCCCTTCCAGGTAGTTCGAGCCGAACAGTTTGTGGATGTGGTAGTGGAGGTGAGCGGTCTTGTACTCGATGACCGCCCGCAGCGGCCACGACAGGAGCACGAGCGAGGCGATCCAGAAGACGACGTGGGACACGTACCACGGCAAGTTATTTGGATCTCGGAACGCGATCATGTATTCCTTGAAGTCCACGTTGATCAGATCCATGCCCTCGCGACCCTCCATGTAGTCGTCCTTCGTCTCGTACTCCTGGAAGAACTGTGCCCTCTGCTCCTCAAATTCGAACTCGGTGTCTAGGTTGGCGAACGAGAAGCCCTTGCTGACTTTGATCTTGATCGCGGGGAATTTCTCGAGCTCTGACAGAGGTCGCGAGATGTCCTTGACCCCGCACTGAGTATAATTGAACGCAGCTCCCGCAGTCTTGGAGTCGACTCGCTCATAGTAGACCTGGGGATGGTGAAAGATAAATATTTAAACCTTTGGGTAACAGTAATTAGATAATATATATATAGGGCTAGAGGTAAATATATTAGATTTGGGGATGGTGGTCAATAGGTATTTGATATGGAAATATGGTAAATTGGTATAGACCTTTGGATAGAGGTTATTTATGTGGATACTGGTTAATAGATATTTAGCATTGGTTTTCACCCACAGTTACGGAATAAAGTAGGAGAGAACGGGGTAGGTTGTGTTGTAGGTTGGTTGTGTTGTAGGTAGGTTGTGTTGTATGTTGGTTGTGTTGTAGGTTGGTTGTGTTGTAGGCTGGTTGGGTTGTAGGTTGGTTGTGTTGTAGGTTGGTTGTGTTGTAGGTTGGTTGCGTTGTAGGTTGGTTGTGTTGTGGATTGGTTGAGTTGTAGGTTGGTTGTGTTGTAGGTTTGTTGTGTTGTAGATTGATTGTGTTGTAGGTTGGTTGTTTCGTGGGCTTGTTGACCTATCACTTAAATATTAAAGACCAGGAACAAAATGCCGAGTTCAATGCACAAATACAAGGTATGTCTGCAAATACTTGATTTCAAACTGCTTTAACTTTCTGTTTCTTGACCAGGAAAAGAAAAGTCAAGTTATAATTTTCTACTGCTGTGATATCGCTAGTTATTAAAGTTAAAGTTAAAACTTATGTGTTTTTTTTTAACATTCAGTAGTGGCATTGTATATTTTTAGATGTAAAATATTTATCAAGATAGTTTCTTTAACTTGGACGTTTTTAATGGTAAAATAAATTCAACGGCAACGAATGGGGGTGCTTGTCTCCACTTTCGCGGGACTGGTTCTCACAGTGTAACGAAAACCCCCTCTCCTTTCAACTATAATTTTGCAAAAAAATATTATAGAGAATTCAAGGAATTCCTTCTCGTAATTACTAATACATTAAAAAGCATGCATATTACTTATTACATTTGACTGTCAGTTAAATTATTTTTTAAAATAGTTTTTAAAAAATTAATCAATGTTTTTGAAAAAATATATAGTGAGCATGAAAACTTTCTAGGGGGGGGGGGCAAAAAAAATCGATTAACTTTCTAGGAGGGGGCAAACAATTTTTAGTAAAGTTTTAATGTGGTTTAATTTACTGTAGAGTATTTGTATGGTGAACGAACGGACAGGACATCAGCTTAGTTACTTTCTCTTTATTCTCTCTTTACTTTAATACATTTTTTGTTATTTTTGTCGAATTTTTTTTTAATCCAATCAATAAGGGGGGGTTTTTTTTTTTTTTTTTGTTATTTTTTTTTTAACCCAACCAAAAGGGGGGGGGGGGCAAGTGCCTCCTTTGTCCCCCCCCCCCCCCCCCCCCCCTTTGCGGGCGCCCATGACAGTGAGCCTCTGCTTGTGCTAGCATTAATAAATATTTTTTTCCTATCAATGGTTCTCACACAAATGCCATAACTTTCTCAGAGTATTAGAAGCAATACAAATTTATAATTATGTTCTGGTGAAACCAAACACAATTCATTGGAATAGTTCCCGTTCATGTAAGTTTTTTTTTTTAAAGAACTAGTCTACAAAAATTGACCCGGTGTTACCGGCATAACAATGTAAGCCAGATGCGCTACTTTCTATCTGCTCTTGCAAAGTCTCAACATCTAGACTACAATTTTTACGTATGTAACAGAATCGGTTGGTGACGTTTTGAAACTTCAAAAGAAAATTACCTCATTTTTAATGTAGGGCAGCGCGAGTCGGTTGTCACACTACTTACATTTGTGTCTGCCATTAATTCAATGTTGATCTTAAGCAAGTAAAATGTAACTCGGTGATCATTAATTCATTTACGGTTAATGTATTATGAGTTGAGATAAGGACGGTGAACATATTATATAACACTAACAAAAGGTGGGTGGGGATATTTTTTTGTTATATTTAGTTCTATGGGGTGGGGGGGGGGGTTAAAGAGCAATGGTATATAAAACTTCTTTTTATGATTTATTTTTTATAAACTATTTTTTGTGTAAAACTTTGTTGTAAAATGCGAAAATTCAACAATTCAGCCTATACATAATGTTTCCTGTGGACAGCATCTATCCCTAAACCTAACCTGAACCCTAATTGTATCTCTAAACCTAACCCGAACCCTCATTGTATCTCTAAACCTAAGCTGAACCCTCATTGTATTTCTAAACATAAGCTGAACCCTCATTGTATTTCTAAAACTAAGCTGATCCCTCATTGTATCTCTAAACCTAAGCTGAACCCCCATTGTATCTCTAAACCTAAGATGAACCCTCATTGTTTCTCTAAACCTAAGATGAACCCCCCTTGTTTCTCTAAACCTAACCTGAACCCTCATTGCATTCCTAACCTAAGCTGAACCCTCATTGTATCTCTAAACCTAAGCTGTACCCTAATCCGACTGTTTATTTTAAATGAAAATTAATTTAGTTTAACACACACACAATAACATCCGTTGTAATCAAACACGTAAAACAGGTGTGTTACCTGAGTAGAGGTAAAGGCTATAATCAAACACGTAAAACCGGTGGGTTACCTGAGTAGAGGTAAAGGCTATAATCAAACGTGTAAAACAAGTAGGTTACCTGAGTAGAGGTAAAGGCTATAATCAAACAGGTAAAACACGTGGGTTACCTGAGCAGAGGTAAAGGCTATAATCAAACAGGTAAAACACGTGGGTTACCTGAGCAGAGGTAAAGGCTATAATCAAACAGGTAAAACAGGTGGGTTACCTGAGCAGAGGTAAAGGCTATAATCAAACAGGTAAAACACGTGGGTTACCTGAGCAAAGGTAAAGGCTATAATCAAACAGGTAAAACACGTGGGTTACCTGAGCAGAGGTAAAGGCTATAATCAAACAGGTAAAACAGGTGGGTTACCTGAGCAGAGGTAAAGGCTATAATCTATCACGTAAAACAAGTAGGTTACCTGAGTCGATGTAAAGGCGTCTCCATTGCGATACCTCATGACGTGGCGTGTTCTTCTCACGTAATGGTAGCAGGTGGCCTTCCACCATATGACAGGCAGGGCGCTCTGCATCTTGTAGATGGTGTTGTAGACTGTAGTAATGTCACACTGGGGGAGGATTGAATGCTAATGATGTAGCGATGTCACAAAGGGAGACCAATGTAGACATACCCATAAATATCAGAAGGTAAGCGAGTATGTTTGTGTGAGTTAGTTTGTATGTTTGGATGCCACCCCCCAATCCAGCCACCCTCCCCTCCCCCACACTTAACCCCAGCCAAGCCCGTTCTTTGTTTGTTCTTCTACCACCATCTGTTCCGATGGATTACGGTGCCTGCCTCCCACATCAATTAGTCTGGTGTAGAACAATGTAGGAGAAGACGGATGGGCCCCGAATCGAATCACACGAGCACAGAATGAATGACGATCGATCGATTTCCCCAAACGATGAAATAATAAAGTTACCGGATGGGCCATTACCATTTTTTTTAAAAATCAAGTTTATTTTCTTTATGTTGTGCAAACAGTTTTTACTGAGCGCTTGGCATTTCGTATCGATCTTAACCTGAGGCCGTAACGAGATCCCCGAGGCTTGTTCGTAAGTACATACTCAACATGCGAGAGGTCTTGATAAGAATCGTAGTGTCTCTACAGCTATATTTAAAAAAAAAAAATTGTTTGTCTTTCGCATGCGAGGATGATCAAAGCTATATTCGAGTTGAATATTAGCCTTGACCTTGTGCTGTAGTTTGTTTTAAATTGATGGGAAGTTGCGCTGTGTACCTCGATCTTTCGTCACTTATTTTTTTGATCCAAGGAGAAGACTCGGTCAAGACGACTAGGAGATAGGCAAGGCTGCAGCGTGGAGACCGACCGAAAGTGATCTTCTGATTTCGGCCGAAACCGAAACCAGGCCGAAATGTACAAATAACTTTCGGCCGAAACTCAAATTAAACCGAAAGTTAACATTTCAGTTTCGGCCGAAGCCGAAATTAAACCGAAATTTAACGTTTTGGTTTCAGCCGAAACCGAAATAAGGCCTAAAGTGATCAAATGGTCACTTTCGGCGCCGAAACCAAAGCCGAAGCCGAAATTCGGTCGGTCTCTCCTGCAGTGGACGACCAGATCTTTATGCGTTATGAGTTGAAAGCTTACAAATCCCCCGTTTTTGGTGAATTGTATCTGTCCTACCCACCTCATATCTGAGAGGCAGCCTTGTATCTGTCATACCCACCTTAAATCTAAGCTCCAGTCTTGTACCTGTCCTACCCATCTCATATGTAAGCTCCAGTCTTGTACTTGTCCTACCCACCTTATATCTAAGCTCCAGCCTCGTATGTGAGTGCCAACACTCCACCAGGTAGACCAGGTACAGCATGATGACGAAAGCCACAGGGATGTACACATATCCCTCTTTACACGGTCCGGGTCTCTCTGTGCTGGTCAGTGAAACGTCCAAGTAGGTCAGCACTTTCTGTTGATGGACATAATTAATGTTTGTGTTTTATTCAGTAACACATATGACCTTGTATTCGTCAAATCAGTGGTGAAACATCTATACATTAACTTAAATATACATATATATATATATTAGTCAGTCCAATAACATAATCTCAACGGACACCTGTAAGCTCATCAAATAAATAAATAACTAAATTATCATTTTATAGAAATATAATAGATGTGTAACCAAAATAATGCAGTGATTGTCGGAATTATTTAGCTCAGCCCCCCCCCCCTTTTTTTTTTTTTCCTTGACGTTCTAAAGCAGGGGTCACCAAACATTATTGCAAAGCGGGCCGCATGACTGACAAGATGAAGAGCGCGGGCCGCTTACTCATTAAGCCAGAACGAAAGCTCTAGGGAAAAAACAACAACTAAGTTTAGTATTCCATGTTAATCATGGGTTAATAGCGCGCAGTACACAAACAAACAACCAAAAAAAAAAAAAAAAAAAAAAAAAAAAAAAAAAAAAAAAAAAAAAAAAAACCCAAAGACATATATATAAGTATATACTAAAAAAGTTATCAAAGAGGGCGTCGGTAGCAAAAAGATAGTTACATCAGACCTGGTGTGCACATATTCGAATCTCATACTAGGCGGCCAAAAAAAAAAAGTTAGCAATATTTGCGAAACCGACATTTGGCTTTTGAGATATCATCAAGGCTTGGTTTGGTGTGGCGGCATCCCGTCAAGGGAAGGCTTGGTTTGGTGTGGCGGCATCCCGTCAAGAGAAGGCTTGGTTTGGTGTGGCGGCATCCCGTCAAGGGAAGGCTTGGTTTGGTGTGGAGGCATCCCGTCAAGAGAAGGCTTGGTTTGGTGTGGCTGCATCCCATCAAGAGAAGGCTTGGTTTGGTGTGGCGGCATCCCGTCAAGAGAAGGCTTGGTTTGGTGTGGCGGCATCCCGTCAAGAGAAGGCTTGGTTTGGTGTGGCTGCATCCCATCAAGAGAAGGCTTGGTTTGGTGTGGCTGCATCCCATCAAGAGAAGGTTTGATTTGGTGTGGCTGCATGCCATCAAGAGAAGGATTGGTTTGGTGTGGCTGCATCCCATCAAGAGAACTGCTTCCAAACGTTCATCAGTCAATCTCGTTCGAAGTGTTGACTTCACATACTTCATTTTTGAAAATGTGTGCTCACAGACATAAGTTGCTCCAAACACTGTTGTCATAGATGTGGCAAATTTCTTTCGTTTCGGAAACTCAACATCAGGTAATCTGCGGTAAAACTCAACAAGTTTCCCTTCCCTGTGCATCTCTTCAACAAGACATTTGCTTGCAAATCAATGAGCTCCAACTGTAGTTCAACTGGTACATCATCAATGTTACAATCAAACGAATTCTGGAACAGAAGAATGTCACTCTAAATTCAGTCAAGATCTAAAAATCTCTCCCTCCCAAAAATGCTTCTTCAAGTCACGAATAATTTTTGTCGGAAAATTGATGTTGACATCTTCGGCGATAGTACAGGAAAAGTCTTTTGAAAGAGGGAAAATGAGAACAAATTGTGCTTCAAACAATGACAGCTTTCTCCGAATTCCTTTGAGGATTCCGTAAAGATCACAGATGAGGTTCTCCTTTCCCTGAAGTTTACAGTTCACCCCCTTCACAAAATGGGGAGATGCAGTCTAGAGTAAAAGATATCAATCGAACTGGCAATTTAAAAAAAATTCATAACTAAAAAAAAAAAAGTACTAAAGCTAGAAAGTCGATTCTGGATTCATTTTTTTTATTTTGAAACTTGCTCTTTACATCTGTACTATTTTGATAATTTTTAGGAATTTTTAAAAATAAATATTTTCACCTAAGTAATTAATTCTCAACATATTTAAAATGTGTTGCTACGTTTCGTGTTCCGTACGTTTTTTTCAAGCAAATCCAAGAATCATCGGCGGGCCTGATGAACGGACGTCGTGGGGCCGGGAGTGACACCGGTTCTAAAGTCATACCTAGAGCCATACCTTAGCCATTATTAAGAATTGTTCAGAATAGATTTTAGGAAATTAAAAAAAAAAGTACAAAGTGACACAAAATAATTGAAACATTTCATCCAAGGGTTCTCAGCTTGTTTGTAGCCCAACAACCCTTTGGATTAAAAAAAAAATATTCACCTCCATTGGGATATTGGATTACGTATGCCCAGTGGTGTTGGCGTAAAACACCATCGTTAAAAATACTAAATTGGTGCCGACAGCTTTCCACCAAACAATAACACAACTTAATACAAAAGTAATAACAATAACATGACCAAGCTCATTTTCCTTTGGGTTTTCCCAGTGGCAAATTGCCCTAAGCCGAGATAATACGCCCTGAATATAAAGGTCGCGCCCTATGTAACGAGTATTAAATTCTTTAATGGCATTCTGACATAACTTCTGTGCGTGGAGAGTATGAACCACCGAGTTTTGAATTCACGCGCTACAGAGAAACCCTCCAGATATGGGTCAAACAGTGGGTCACGTAATCAATCATTTATAATTGATCGAAATATTGAAAGTAAGTTACGATTATTGATACAAATAAATTGCGATGTGTTTTGATGACTCTTTTTAAATTCGTATTCAGAATATTGATCAACATTATGATTGCGCTAAAAAATAATTAAACTAATCACAATTTAAACGTAGTTCCCAATTAAATAATACGTAAATTAATTTTTTCAAAAGGGTATATGTTAGAGGAGTAGCAATGACTACTTTAGTATAAGAGCATTGTTAAGAGGGGGGGGGGCTTTAAAAAACATGGAACTAAACAACCCCCTAAACAGAAAGCTTTTCGTATAAATCCTTTACTAAATGTAATATGGAGCAACGAGGGTGGGCTTGAAAATTTGACAAAAAGTGCATACAAGTAACGCATTTTATAAGAACCCCACTTAGTACCCCTCCACCCACCCCCCAAAAAGGCTCACAACCGCAATTTTTTTTCCACGCCCCTGAACAAAATAAATATACTAATGACCCACACGCCTTTACACCTCGGATTTATTTCACCAAATGTTTAAGGAAAACAAGAGAAAATTTAACGCGCTAAAGGCAATTGCGATATTTTTTTTTTTCGTTCTTTACAAACTTTCCGCGTCCTTTGTTTTTTCCCCCCCCCCCCCCCCACTCTTTTTTTATGCTATTTAGTGACGTAATTTTTCAATCTAAGCTTATCAGATGTGGCTACAAAAATCTCAGGGACTTCCCGATGATGACCTTTGACCGTAGAGAATTGTAAGGGCTTTGGTTGGAGGTTACGAGCATTAGAGTAACGAAACAAACAATGTGTTTTTTAAAATAAAATTGGGCTCACCTTGTGAGAGATGGTTAAGTGGCACCAAGATATCGCGGCCAGGCACCCAACAATCAATGAGGTCAAACACAGACATTTCCAGTGTCCATCTTTCCTCAGGGAGGCGCACAAGGATTGTCTTACAGGCCCTTGCTGGGAGGAAAATGTGAACTTATTGATTAATGGTCGCCTTTAATACTACAGCGAGACAAATGAAATGCAGATCTGTTTGTTTTCTTTGTGGTATGTCCTGTGTGTAAAGTATACCAGATGATTGACATGTCTCGGGTGAAAATATAATACAAATATGTGTCTGGCGATACTTTAACCACTCAGAATGAGGCAGATCATCGATACTTAAGGTTCATCAATACTCGAGGTTCATCGATACTTGAGCTTCATCGATACATGAGCTTCATCGATACTTAAGTAATTTTGATACTGGAGCTTCATCGATACTTGAGCTTCATCGATACCTGAGAATCATCGATACTTGAGGTTCATCAAAACTTTAGCTTCATCGATACTTGAGCTTCATCGATACTTGAGCTTCGTCGATACTTAAGTAATTTTGATACTGGAGCTTCACCGATACTTGAGGATCATCGATACTTGAGGTTCATCGATACTTGAGCTTCATCGATACTTAGGGTTCATCGATCCTTGAAGAGCATCGATACTTATAAATAAGTATAATCGTAACGTTGAAGCGAAAGTAATGTTGAACCGAAAGTAATGTTGGACCAAAAGTAATGTTGGACCGAAAGTAATGTTGGACCGAAAGTAATGTTGAACCGAAAGTAATGTTGGACCGAAAGTAATGTTGGACCGAAAGTAATGTTGGACCGAAAGTAATGTTGGACCAAAAGTAATGTTGGACCGAAAGTAATGTTGGACCGAAAGTAATGTTGGACCGAAAGTAATGTTGGACCGAAAGTAATGTTGAAGCGAAAAACCAATAAGCATTAACGCTAGAGATGAACGGACGGATTTTAAAAATTTAATCCCCAAAGTACCGACAGATATCTGAATATTCAGGTAGCAGTACTGTTTAGGCAGAGGTAAGTGGGACTAAGTCCATTCTGATATTTGTAATCTTTTTTTCCCTTTAAAACTTGGTTATTAACAATTGTAAGTATTTTTTCCTAAATAATGCTAGCAGGAAATAAAAAATTTAAAAAAAATGTATTGCTCCTTTCTTGTTTTGTGTGAGATGGCGGAGACATCCGGCTGTGAATCATACGTCATGTTTATTTCTTATTCTAGACTTCTGACAGTAGGTATTTCTGTCCTGTATTCTACTTCTTCTTAAGAACAGCTTGCCTTTTCTGACGAATCCATTCGTCCCATATTTTACCTTAGATGGGGACGGCCCAGAACACTTTCGGACCCGCTCCTTCCTGATACGATAGGGGATACTCTGCCATAGCGCCACGGGGCTACTCCCCAAACCCCATAGATCTTTATCAATTCAGCTTGGTTAATGTAAAAAGAGACATTGGCCAGAATGACAGCGTCTAGACTGGTAGAGGTCTCAACTGACTCCAATAGTTTCATGTCAACGTTTTTTTTAATTTTTTTTTTTGTGTGCATCAAAAGTGACTTGCGAATTTGTGTTTTTTAAATATAAAAAAAAGAGCATTGGAAAAAAGAACCAAATAA